GGAGGTGAGCAGATTAATAGGTTTAGGGTCCAATATCGCATCCCCCCATATGTAGATATAGAAGATTATAACCCCGCTTTGCATTCCCGTACTCTTGGAGCCGAAGATGAGATGCCTTTTTATACCAAAGTCATCATAGATGGCGGAATTAGGTTCACTCTGCCCCTCTACTTCTCCAGTTCCTCTCTCATTTTCACCTCTTTCCAGGACAGTGTTGCCTCAATGTCTTTAGGATAATAATGGGAGTCTTAGAGCTCAACAATGTCTTGGGTAAATGTTAGGCTGAACGATATCCTCTTTTGCTACTCCCTCTTGAGGGTCATGCCTCAGTAAAACTTCTACCTCAAAGCCAGGGACCCATCCATGTACCTTGTAACTCATATTCCTGACTCGGACAAGGGGTACAAGGATGACCTACTGATCTTCAAGGGATCTTGGCAGAGGGGTGTCGGTCCCGAGTACAACGGTATGTTATGTCCTTTGGAATGGAGAACGACAAGTACGTCGGCTTCTTCGAGTCTATTATTTTATTCTTGAGATTTTTTAGAAGTGTTCATAACTCCCTCTCCTCTCTTTTTTGTGTGCGGACGTCTCTGATCGGGAAGCAGCTCCTCCACTTCGATCCTTGGTGAACTTTGCCAACCTCGTCATTGTTTGGAGATTTGTTGGCGATGACAGGTTCGGCCGGGCTACTCACATTCTTCTAAATTATACTCCCGGATATAAAAAATTCTCACAACTCCCCCAACCTTTCGAGCCTTCGCGGTAGTCTGAACTCTTCGATCAGGCTGCGCAACAAGAGGTTGAGGAAAACTTGGAGGAAAACCCCAACCGGGCTACAGAGACTGAAGTAAAGGGTGTTGTTGAAGTTGAGGAGTTCACGACCAGAGAGGCTTTGGTTTCTTTGCACGCCGAAGTGGGGACTTCGGGGAAAGACTCGTGGCCTGACTTCCACATCTTGCAGTCCCTAGACGAGGAGGACGCCCTCGAGGTAGCCATGTCGAACATGCCTCGCATAGATCTGGGTTCCTGAGTTTGATATGTAATTTCTACCCCTTACAGTTTGATATGCAACACATACAAATACATAACTCACGGATATATCATAATTATTAACAATTATTTGCCATATAACTGACTATTTTATCCTTGATCAATCCAATTCATACTCATATTAAAGGGAACAATTATCTTTTACATCCTTAACTCTTTAACCTATCTTTCCAAATCCACTCTCTCTCTAGGTTTGGCCTAAACTTATGATCATGGGCTTAATTTTCGGGCTAGTTACGGGCCTGGTTTGAAAACCCGAGATTGAATTTTCAACCAAAACATGAGATTTGAGGGTTTTTTGGACTATTTTCCTCAAACCCATCTTGTCAAGCCCCTGGTAGTCCCTATAGGTCTTGAATTGACTGTGGATCTTATCAAACATTAAAATTTGATATTAATTTAATGATTACAAGGAAACTATATCATTAGATTAACAAATTTGATCAAATTTTTAAGTTCAAATAATTTTACTCGAAAAATATTCAAGAAACAAGGCATCAAGTCCAATAGTAGGAGATTGGTGTTAAAACTGGAAATTAACACCAAACAATTTTAGTACTCCACCATAACTATATTAATAAAAGTCTAAATTGAAATCAACTTTCGGTTAGATATTAACATGATATCTTAGTAGGGTCAAAACTCATCGACCCTAATTGAGAATTCATATATTATTTTAAACAAAGTATAAGATGTGTCTTTGATCAGATCAAGAAGGGAATTAATCGAGATATGTATGAACTAACTCGGATGACTAATGAACCCAAAAAAAAAAATATAGCCTTCGATAGAGTAATCAACACGCCGTCTAACGTATTTGGGGGTATTGTATGTTACCCAAGTACGACTAACTAGAAATCATCATACCTCTGTCTAAACTCAAGGCTAGCTGTTTTGCTCCTTAGATGGTGTTTACAAAAGTAAATAACAAGTGAAAATAACAAAAAGAAAATGTGTGATTTCATTCTAAGGATGTAAATGTACTTCCCGTGAATATGTAGCAAACTCCCTTTTATTTTGTTCCCATGCAACTAATTCGTAATTAGTTATAAATTTCACCCCAGGTTTCAAATTTTCAATCTAAATAATTTAGGCTCGTTGAACAAGCCCAAACTTGTGGGCTTCAAATATCAATATAAATGAATTGGGCTCAAATCGGCCCAACAAACCAAAACTTGCAGGCTTCCCAATTTCAATCTAAATGACTTGGGCTCAAGCTGATTGGGTTCAGCCACCCCAACTTCCAACCCAAAGGCACTATAGTGAGTCTGCCTCAAGGGCTTAAACCAACCTCTCTCTCTCTCTCTCTCTCTGTGAAAATCCTAAACCCTACCTCTCTCTCTCCAAATGAAGCTTTCTCTCTCTACCTTGTTGAACCCACATTCCAAATTTGCTTCTCAAAAGGCCTTCAGGCTTTTCTTTAGCTCAACATCCACTCAAATTCTCTCTTCACCTAAATTGCCTCAAACACTCTACCGTAGAATCTCACCAGTGGGTGACCCTAATATTTCCATTGTGCCAGTACTAGATCAGTGGGTCAGAGAAGGAAAGGAAGTCCAGAGAGAAGAGCTTCAATGGATCATCAAAGAATTGAAATTCTACAGACGGTACAAACACGCTCTCGAGGTTAGCCATTTCCCTTTTTATCTCTCGTGGTTAATAAAATTATCACTTTGGTCATTTATACTCAAGTTTCTAAGTTGTGGGTTGTTAATTTAGTGTAAAAAAATGGTTTATTTGCGAATAAACGTTGGCTTACCTTCCCCCCCCCCCCCCCCCCCCCCAAGACCTTGCAATGGCAGGACAGGAGCCTCCTACACTGGGTACGCTTTTTTTTTTTTTTTAAGAATAAATTAAGCAGATGGGTTTTCAAAATTTAACAATTTGGATGCACGTTTGGTATAATTCCTCAATGATTTGCTATACAATTTGTGTTGGGTTTTTGTTATTTTCCGCAAATGGGTTCTCGAGAATTAGCTGCATATATCAATATTGAATGTAACTTTATAGACCCTTGAACTTCCAAATTGAAATCTTATAGTAGATAAACATAGAGATGATATGTGTCACATAAGTATGTATCAAGGTGTGTGGTTTTTTTTGTTTCATTTTGAGTGTTTGTATCTGATTCCGACACATATTGGCTTTTGTTTTACAATTTCTATTGGATTTTGTTGTTGAAGCAAAGGGAATCAACGAAAAATTCACAAGTTCAGTCAAATGGCTATAGTGCTGATAAAGGGTGCTCTGGTATTTTGTTGTTTGCTTTATTGGGTAGCTTTAGGGTGGACCTCTTCTAGGACCTCCTCCTAGATTTCTTCCTAGACCTCTTCCTTAGACTTTTTCTTAGTTTTGTGAAGAATTAACTCATGGCCAGTGAGTAATCCCTTCTTTTTCTCTAGTTAGGGTATGGTTTTCATCATTGTAAATTGAATATGTTCTCCATAAATTTTATGGTTCTAGAATGATTTATCTTTTTATCACTTTCCGATTGAAGGAATGATTTTTATTAAAGTAATGTCCTCTATAAACTTATTTGATTAATCATTAATAAGATTGAGTTCTTGGTATGGGTATGTCTACGGATTATTGACTTTTAAGGATTCGTTTGCCATGACCAACATTGCAGTGATGGTCTGCTGATCTGTTGCATAAAATCTCCAAAGCCATTATATAATGTCGTGAATCTAATCCCTGAATTCTGTTTCCGACGTTCTTTGCAGGTGTCACAGTGGATGACCGATAAGAGATACATTCCCCTCATGACAGGTGACATTGCCGACCGACTAAATTTGATTTCTAGAGTGCATGGGTTAGAACAAGCTGAGAAATATTTCGAAAACATACCACAAATATTAAAAGGCTATGAAGTTTATTGGGCTCTTCTGAATTGCTTTGCCCATGGCAAAGCGGTGGAAAAATCGGAGACCTTCATGCAGAAATTAAGGGATATGGGGTATGCTAGGACACCATGGAGCTACAATATTATGATGACTTTATATTATAAAATGGAAAGTTGGGAGAAATTAGATTCTCTGGTGCATGAAATGGAAGAGAAGGGCATCTATTTTGACTACTACACCTATGGTATTCGTCTAAGCGCATATGCTGCTGCTTCTGATATTGAAGGAATGGATAACATTGTCACAAAAATGGAATCTGATCATCGCGTAACTCTGGACTATTATACTTATGGTGTTGCGGCTGATGGGTACTTGAAAGTTGGTTTACTGGATAAAGCTTTGACAATGTTGAGTAAATTGGAGGGACAGATGATTTCAACCAAGAAAAGGAATGTTGCATTTGATTGTCTCCTCAGACTGTATGCACGCACCGGGAAAAAAGATGAATTGCACCGGATCTGGAATCTGTACAAGAAGGAGAAAATCTTTAATAATGGTTATATGGCCATGATGAGCTCACTATTGAAATTTAATGCCATTGAAGATGCTGAGAAGATTTTTGAGGAATGGGAATCGAGGGGCTTAACCTATGATTTTCGGATTCCGAACTACTTGATAGATGTTTATTGTAGAAATGGTCTATTAGGGAAGGCTGAATCCCTTTTAGAAAAGGGATAGCTAACGGGGGCAATCCTTCTGTTCATACATGGTGCTCCTTGGCTGGTGGGTATATTGAAAATAATCAAGTTCCAAATGCTGTGGAAGCTTTGAAGAAAGCAATTTTGATTTGTCCATCTAATGGGAAGCCCAGCAAAGAGACTTTGTCGGCCTGTTTGGAATTTTTGGAAAGGCGGGGAGATGTGGAAGAAGCAGAGGAATTCATAGAGCAACTGAAGACGCACAAAATTTTCTCAGTAGTTGTTCACGACAGATTGCAGAGTTTTATAAAGGTTGGGAAGAAACACAAATTTTCTCAGCAGTTGTTCACGACAGATTGCTAAATTTTATAAGGGTTTGGAGGACACAATCTTAGTCACAGAGAATGGGATGTTTTTATTGGGGTTTAGAAAATACATGCAACCTGGGAGGTAAAGCAGTATGGTGTCTACTGAGTAAAGCAGTGATAAGTTTGGGTTTCTCTGAACTCATGAGCCTACATATCTTGGCTAGTATTGTGATTATTATTTCAGCCATTGAAATGAAGGAGCAGGCATAGTACAATACAAATAACAAATCAGTGGGTTGATGACGATTCTTTATGTATCTGCTCACTTCAACCATGAATACTAGCGCACTAAAGAAGAACTTGCAATGACCATGAGACTGCATCCAATATCCTGTGGAAGTTCATATCTTCTTTTATTTTGGTTCTTGTCAAATCAGAACTCTCAGATGGAGTCGGATGCGTGTAGGGCAGATATTCGAGAGTAGTTTTCTGAGCCTGAGTTGAGTGGTCGAGCTCGTATTTTCAAATGAGTTTAAAAAATTGTTGAAATTCAACTCGTTTAAAAAATGAACCTAGTCGAACTTAAGTAGCTTGACTATTTTATATACAAACAAACTTAAAAAATTGTTCGAATTCGATTCGTTTAAAACACGAGCTGAGTTCTATCCGAGTGGAAGTCGAGTAATTTAGCTCAATTATCAATCCTGGTTGTGTTTGATGTTTGATGTAGATTGTGGCTTGATCTGCTGATCTAAACTCTAACTTGGATAAGAGTTGATAGTTGAACGAGTTCAAAGCCTAAAAAGGTTATTTTCTCGACTAAACTTAAAAAATTATTCAAGTTTAGTTTGTTTTAAAAATAAGTTGAGCTTAAACGAGTTGAACTCGAGTCGGATTCGAGTATTTACATATAATCAAGTCGAGCTCGTTTTTCAAATAAATCTAAAAAGTTGTTCATGATCTACTCATTTTTGAACGAGTCAAAAACAAATCGAATTCGAATAATTCAGTTTGATTAACGGTCTTACTTTAGACGATACAAAGTAAAAAAAATAAAAATAAAAAAAAAAGCCTAGTACAGGATTTGAAGATGGTCATACGCATATAATCTTCTTTTATACGACTTCAACATGTGACTCTAATCATGAAGAAAGCAATTTTATCATTGCACCCATTTGACTATATGTAGGTTGTGGCTTGATGATCCAAACGCTAGTTATGAGATTTAAGGAACTATGATTGAAGCACAGGGCTACTGCTTTTAGTCTCTGTAATGCGCATGGTTGTAGGTGAATCTCAGTCTAGCAATGTTCTTTATCAGTTTACAACAGAGCAGACAGCTATTATAGTTTACATTATTATGCAGTACACTAATGACAACCATTCCATTAAATTTAATTTAGTGTCATCGAGGTCCGTTGTCACTTTTCTTTTCAACTCATACTTCTTCAATCTTCTCCTAATTTATTATTAGAAATCTAGAAACTGTTAGAGTAGTATAAATAAATGTATTTTAGGGTTATTATTCCCCAAGATTCTAAGTTCAACTATCTTAAGAAAGTCACGATTTACTTGATCGTCATTCTTATCACACACGTTTAAAATTTGTATCGTAATCACGAGTTGAAAAGTGTCACGATTGTAAAAAAATGCAACATTGAAAGCTTTTTTATTAGCAATAAATCAAAGTCAGTCGGCATAAACTCCAAAAATAGGTTACAGTGGCACATAACATTATACTCCAAAACTTACATCATTATCATGTACTAGGAGAGAGATAATTGTCAAACCATAAAGCAAACAACTCACAGATGAAATAAGATGGAACGAGATCCCTCCGGTGTGTGTGTGTCTATATATATATATTATTTTTTTGACAAATTAATTATTATGTATTTAAGTAAAAGTTATTGTATATAAATAGGTCTATTATTCATTAATTAAAATGATCAATTCAGAAAAAAATAAAATAAAATATGTATAAGAGAGTATCTGAGTCAAAATAAGACATCTTATTCGGTAGATAAAGTGGGTGAATTCAACAAATTAGTCAAATGTGGTCCTATCATCCTTAGCATTCCACTTTAAAAAGCAAAAGGAGACCCCAAATCATTTTCTATCAATCAATATTTTCTTTGAACAGACATTTCTTACCCTCAAAAGTCTTGGATTTGTATTTCTTGAACATACATTTCTTACCCTCAAAGTCTTGGATTTGTATTTCTTGAATAGACATTTCTTACCCTCAAAAGTCTTGAATTTGATTAAGGTACCGACAAAAGTAAAAAATTTGGTACCATACCTCTAAAATTTGTTAGTTTAAAGGGTGTGCTGATAATTTTTGTGGAACATTTTATAACTAAAAAATTTATCACTTTTATAGGTGATTTATAACTTTTGTGGGTATTTTTACAATATTTGGATAATTATTTTTACCATTTTTCTTCCATACAAAAAAAAATTACAACTTTTGTGATTATTTTATTATATTTGTGGATATTTTTATCACATTTGTTAATATTTTAACCACTGTAGTAATTATTTTTATCATTTTTTTGGATGCCACAACAGTAATAAAAACGCTTATAAATATAATTAAAGTAACTATAAATGTGATAAAAAGAAGTATGATTGTAACCTTTTTTTGTATCATAATCAATTCCCAAAGTCTTCGATAATCATTATTGGCGGTCCCTTTGTTTCTTACAAATTTTTCAAAGGTTAGGAATCTCGAATTTAATCCTTAACCACCCTTGATTATTGGAGTTTCATTCTATATAATGTGATTTCGTCAATGATTCATTTTGACATGTCCATTCTATTTCCAATAGGCATGAGACATAAATATGATGAAGATTACTCTTTTTCTATCACTTTAACACATTTTTTTGACGATATTTAAATCGTATCTTTCACATTAGAAGTGAAATCGGACCATTTGGGTTTATCCCATCGAGTAATATTGTGTCTTAAACCAAGCAAGTTATAAAGTTGGAACAATTGAGGACCTAAATTACGAAATTTTGAGAAATATTTTAAGAAGTTTGCATTATCTTATCCCCTAGATTGATTGGTTGCCCGACTAATGTGATGGGACTAAATAGAATTTGCCTATCAGCACCCTATACCTTCATTGTTGTGGGTAGCTTTGAATAATGTGGTTTTTAGGTGAGTACAATTAGGACATCTCACCCAAAGAAAAAGAGGCCGGGGGTGTTGGTTTTTTTTTTTTTTTTTTTTTTTGGGGGGGGGGGGGGGGGTGAAGGAGGAGAGAGAGATTTCTATCAAATAAAAGTTGGATTGGATGATAGTGGGGAGCCTTCGGTGCAAGTTTAGGTTGTGATGTGATTATTGTAGTCTAATGCCCCGTGTAATAGAAATTATGAAAAATAGGAGAGATATATTTTTTATTATTCAAAGAAGGAAAAGTAAGAATGATACATTTTTCATTCTTACTTTTTCTTCTTTTGTGTTTGATAGAATGAATGAAAAATAAAAATAATTAATTTTTTTATTTGTGTTGACTAAGATTAGGAGTAACAATCAAGGAGGAGAGAGAGATTTCTATCATATAAAAGTTGGATTGGATGATAGTGGGGAGCCTTCGGTGCAAGTTTAGGTTGTGATGTGATTATTGTAGTCTAATGTCCCGTGTAATAGAAATTATGAAAAATAGGAGAGATATATTTTTTATTATTCAAAAAAGGAAAAGTAAGAATGATACATTTTTCATTCTTACTTTTTCTTCTTTTGTGTTTGATAGAATGAATGAAAAATAAAAATAATTAATTTTTTTATTTGTGTTGACTAAGATTAGGAGTAACAATCAAATCATGTCATATCAAGTTCGTGTTGAGTTATTGCGAGTTTGTGTCGAATATTAATCAAACTTAACTCAACTGATTTAACTAATTGTGTCGTGTCGAGTTGACCTATTTATTTTTTTATCGTGTTCGTATTCGTATTGACGTACATAAATTTTGAATAAAAATTTTAATATTAATATTATACTTTCACTTAATTGAATTCATGCTCATACTTTTTCTACAAATTAAAAATTAACTTAAATAAATATTATAATAATAATAATGAGTAAAAATATCTTTTTTATATAATAATATGTCAATGCTTAATAAATAATTACAAACTTGCAATATATTTTATATATTATATATTAAGCATAAAATATCAACTCCTCCGGTGTGTGAGTCTCTTGATATATTTTATATATTAAGCATATTTTCTTTGTTAAATTAAATTTTTTGCAAGTTATATTTTTTTTTATTAATTATGGAAAAAATAAAATTGACTATTAACTTTGTATAATTTGTGTTTGTAATATTGCTTGAATGAAAGAGAGAGATATAAATGAATATTTTTATGATATATATTATTCATCTAATATTTATTACATAATTTTTTATCAGAGAGAGAGATAAAGATGAATATTTTCATAATATACTATTTCTCTCTGTGACATATACTCTTTATCTACATAGAGATGTAGTATTTATTTGAATCAGACACTATCTAATATTTTCGTAAGATACAAAGAGAGACAGAGAGGAAAATATTGTGAAAAATTGATATTTTTTGCGTGAATTGAGCGTGAGAGAAAGATACAGAAGAATGAGAGAGAGAGAGATTTGCTTGATTTAAGGAAAAAGATTTGTAAGAATTAAATTTTGAAATATCAATTTGAAAATTATAAATTTTAAGCAGCAAAAATATTTTAAAGAGTTAATGTGGTACGTCAGATCAAAACAATTTGAGACGTCAATAGCTCGAGATGGTTTGAGATAACTTCGTCTGTTAGATGATATTTTTTTTTTATCACGAAACGATCTAGACCACTCTTTGTCTCTAAAATTCAAATTTATTCTACTTTATTATAAATATATAAACAAATAAGATACATTTTAACACAAATAATTAATTTTTCATCCACTTTCTTTCTGATTTTGAAGAGATTGATTTTGGTGAGTTGGAAAAAAATTTCATTCATCCACTTTTTCATCTTTCCTATTTTTCTTCCTTATCAAAAATAATGTTTTATTGATCCCTTAAACTTTTCATCCTTCCATTTTTTTATCAAACCAAACGGAGCATAATGGTTCATTTGGTAAGATGGATGAAAAAAATGTAAGTATAGAAAATAGGAGTAATACGATTTCCATCTTTCAAGGGAGGAATCATTCATTCTCTCCTTTATGTTTGGTAAGAGGAATGTAAACTAGGAAGACTTAATTTTTTTTTGGTTTTATAAGACGAAAAAAGTATTTTTTAAAAAAAAATTTTAAAATTTTTATTAGAAAAATATAAACATATATTTTACCATTATATCTATATATGAAATTAATGTATACATAATATGTAATTAATAAATATAATATATATATATATATATATATATATATATATATATATAATCAAATGATATATAGATAAATAACATACATTTTAATACATATAATTAATTTCTCATCAAATTTTTTATTCTAATTTTGAAAAAATTGATTTATTGAGTTTGAAAAAAATTAATACATTTATTTTTTCATCATTCTTATTTTTTTTTTATCAAATATGATATTTTATCTATCTCTATAATTTTTCATCTTTCTATTTTTATATCGAATCAAACAAAGTATGAGAGAGAGACTATTTTTATATCGAATCAAACAAAGTATGAGAGAGAGAGAGCCCCTGGCGTGGGTTTAGGTTGAAAGCTTTCTATCATAGGAAAAGTTGGATGGTAATGGGGGGCTCTTAGACGTTGGTTTAGGTTGAAAGCTGTCTATAACAGGAAAAGTTGGATGGTAATGGGGAGCCTTTGACGTAGGTTTAGGTATAGGTTGTCATGTGAATATTATAGCCTAAGTGTGAAAATGTTGATAAAAGATAAATCACACTCAAGGTGCAATTTTCCTTCCTCTGCTACTTCCAAACACTCGCTAGATAATCTTAAGTGTAGGTTAAATTATAACAGGTGTTATTAAATTTGAATTTTGATAACTTTTCTCTCATGAATATTTTAATTATAACGGAAATGACTTATCTTTGACTGACCCGAGGAAGAGATTAATTGAAATGCGCATAAACTAGTTCGAACACTCCTGACCATTAAACCCACAAAAAAATTAATTGGACTAACAACACTACAGGTCCAGTGTACCATTTAGTAAAAGATAAATATACTCTACTCTAAGAATACAGTTTTAAAATTTGATAAGAATGATTAATTTTGATTTAAATGATTTTTTATTATTGATTAAAAAATAATAAAATAATATAAATAAATAAAAAACCTTACACGTCTTACATATGGTACGAAAAAATGTATTTCAATATTATAATGAGACTATTTGATAAAACTCATTGTAGAACTCCGAGCGGTAGTGTTCAAGTAATAATAAAGACAGACTATAAATGAAGATGTCCTGAGTTTTAATCTTGGTAATTTTTAGGGGTAGGTTATGAGGGATTTTTCTCTAATAAATACCTTAATCTTGACGTAAATTGTTTGTATTTAATCAGATTGGAAAAAAAATTAATCAAGATACGTATAAATTGATTCAAACACGCCTACTAAACAAAAAAAAAAGGTCGTCACAGTGGCTCAAATGAAAATGAAAATTTTTCTGGGGTACAATATGTCAAATGCAAAACTCCTAACCTAATTTGCGGGTGATTCTACGTTTTTGAGGAGTCCGAAATAATGATTACTTTGGATATGAAGCCGAGGATATTTCCTATGTAGCACCACCAATGTGCCAAAAAACCTAAGACCCTGCAGGCTAACACCAAAAAAAAAAACGTGGAGTCTGATTTTGAGACAGAAAAATCCTAGGGGTGGGGGCAGTTGAGCTGGGCCATAACCCAGAAAACAAGCAAAGATTGCTTAGCAATCAAAGGTAAGGACAACAAATCATTCATCTATTGGCTTTACTAGTAAAAAAGTCTTTTAGTTTTCTTTAAACAATTTCAATGCAAATCCACCACAGAATTTTTGGGTGATGGGTCTTTTCTTGGACACTTAAGCTTTCCAAGCCCTATCATTAAAGAGAAAAATTAAATAAACAAAAGTTCATTTATAGTAACCAAATAAAAGAATAATTCTATTTTGACTAAAAATCAGACTTAATTTATTAATTTAATGATATAAATTCATTATAACTATTTAATTAACACTAAATTTTAATGTTTAATGAAATTCACAGTCAATCTAATGACCATAATGAATTAGGTTAATACATTAGATCTCAATAGTATTGTTTGACCTAATTCATTATAGGTCTTGGATTGACTGTGAATCTCATTAAACATTAAAATGTGATGTTAATCCAATGATTACAATAAAATTATATCATTAAATTAGTAAATTTGATCAAATTTTTAAGTTCAAATAGCTGTACTCAAAAAATATTCAAGAAACAAGACATCAAGCCTAATAGTAGGAGATTGGTGTTAAACTGGAAATTAACACCAAACAATTTTAGTACTCAACCATAACTATATTAATAAAATTCTAATTCAAAATCAACCTTTGGTTAGATATTGACTTGATATCTTAGTAGGGTCAAAACTCATCGACCCTAATTTAGAATTTATATACTATTTTCAACAAAATACATGGTCTGCCTTTAACTAAATCGAGAGAATAATAAGTTGAAATGTGCATGATCTAACTCGGATGATTGTTGAACAAAAAAAAAAATATAGCCTTCCATGGAGTTATCAACACACCCTCTAATGTATTTGGGGGTATTGTATGTTACCCAAGAATATTACCAAAAAGAAAGTTCCATACAAAATTCAAAGAACCATTGATCTAGCTCATAAACTAGGGCAAAATTTGTCATCTCATATCTTTTACATCTCAGCTCATACAAATCCATGCTCGGAAGCTTTATGTTTCATTACTTTTTACAGAGTGTACAAAAAAGGGCGAGAGCCCAAACCAAAATCAAAAGAGGAAAAGGCAAAGAAGAAAGCAGCAGAAGAAGAAGATTGTAATCCTGTTTAGAGACTTGTCAGCCTGAAACTCTAGCCTTCTCAACCTTGGGCTGGTACTTCCTACCAAATGGTATGAGTTAGGATAAGTATATAAGCTCTCTGAATTACCAAATACCCTAGCATAAACCATCTCCCCATACATCCCGACCAGCGGAGGGAAAACATCCGATGCTGTACTGCCCCCATGGTTAAACAATGGAGGGGAAGAATCTTCTTGATAATTTCCGAATGAATGAGTGAAATGTTGTGGATTCTGATAGGGATTTCGGTAAGGAAGTTGCTGACCATGATTTGATGGATTAATCAGGTCTTGTGTACCACAAGCTGGCGGCCTAGGAGGTATGATCATGCTTAGAGAGGAAGCCTTGCCTTCAGGCTCGGCCTCGGATGGTGCTTGGCCCCGGCCATAAAGAGGGACCACGGTTGTGTGGGATATACCAGCTTTGCAAACTGGGCATCGTGGAGGTTCATCTGAAGCAAGCGAGGCACTTTGGACATGGAACCACTTGTAGATGCAGGGCCAACAGTAGAGGTGGCCACAGAGGGTAACCACAGGATCACGTGCAAAGTCTAAGCAGATATTGCAATCAAAGCAACCAGATATCTTCTCGGAATCTCCTGCTGCGACTGAAATGGATTTCCATTCCTTGGCAAAGTATTGCTCAAAGGCCATGGCAGTGTTGCTCACAATTTGTTCTAGATACTAGCCCTTAACTCTGAAAGACAAGAAAAAAGAGCAGATATTTGAGTGCCTGAGGTTTAATTCGTTGATAATTGACAAACTAAGAATAGATCTAATATATGGCTTAACCTTGAAACACAAACAAGCAAAAGTAAAATGCAGAACACTATACAGGACAGCTCTTATGAACCAAAAAAACAAAAAAACAAAAAAAACAAAAAAGGGGGTGTTCACAAATCATGTGCCAATAAATTGCCCAAGTTTCCTATTGCAAGCAATTGAAACTCAGAAAAATCCAAAACAACCAGGACCATAAGGGGAATTGTCAGAAGATGTTATGCCCCATCTACCAGTGGGAGGCACATAAATCAAAATAATTGAATGGGCCCAAAAATTAGGTTAAATTTGATTTGGAAGATAAAGTAAAGGTGACAGGCACCAACTGTGATAACCCTTTTCTGTTTGTTTCACTGATATTCAGACAAGATTTCTTTGGCTTAACTTTACTATTCAGATAAGAATTCCAACTTGTAAGACCTAAAAATAAGCAATGAGCTGTGTTATTTCTCACAATTTTCTATACAAATCCCTGACTTCAAGCAGACCACTGATGATGGTGACAACAAATAGCCGAGAAATCAATAATATACAAACATCTATATCATATTACAAGTAAGATGAATTCTCAATTTATAAAAGCGCAACTGTTACTTTCATTAAATGGTACAACAGTTATCCCAAAAATTCTTTTCTCGCTCAAAAACATTATTTTCATTGCACACCCCACAATGCTAGACAATCCCATTAATTCACACCTATATATCTCTTTCGTATTTTAGTTTTGTTCAATTAATTACTAATTGCGTGATTATAGAGAAAAAAAATAAAAAATAAATTTTAAATGTTATTAGATCAATGTTTTATTTTTGGTATTAAAAAATATCTTTGGACACAAGGTTATTATTGGTACAAAATATATGACATTGCTTAAATGCTCTGCTTGATATTAGATTGGATGAAGCATAAAAAAAAATATACTAAAGTAATCCGAAGCTTCTAAGCAAACTCCGCCTACCTAACTTTTAATAAGTGGGCCATGTCATGGGTGGAAAATTAACATCTACTTGAATATTAAATACATTAGCCCGAAAATCCAATCTCAGCTTCTGATTTAAGTTGATATAACCACCACTTGTATGTCTTTAACCATACCAATATACCATACTTATTCATACTTCTTATAATTAGTCTCACCAGCCATATTGTACACTTTTTTTGCCCTATAAAGGGAAAGATTATAGATGTTGCACACATCAAGAAGAAAGATGCTTCATGCTTTTGAAGAGAAATGTCAAAGTTGCCGGCTTCAAGCAAATGGCACAACTCTGGCAACTGCTGTGGGACCAAAGGGCATGCCTTCTACTTTTATATGTTTGTTCAAACATTGCCTCAATACTATAAAAACATAGCGCATTATAAAGGGGACGGTAATAATGACAAGGAACACCGCATCTGGGTCAGATAATATCCAGAAAACGAGTTTTCCAAGTTGATCCTCAAGTGCTAAAGTTCCAGACACCATAATAATAATAATAATAAAAGATCTAGTGACCCATCATAGACGACAACAAGTTAAACAAGATAACTTGAAAGAGCAAGAAAAAATCTCTTTAAGCTCAGACGCATGATTTATTATCACAACAAGTTCTCTTTTATTCTGAAACAAAGATTTCAAATTACCATTGGACAACACAGCAAAAAATGCTCAGCCTATACAAATCGAAAAGAATTTCGGGGAAAGAAACATGTTTGTGCTAATAGATGTGGTTGCTGATAATTGGGAGTGGGGTGCAATTTTCTCTTTCTCTGATCCACAGATCATCTGAACCAAAACCAAGTTATTGAACAAGAAATATAAAATGAACACAACAAAGTTGTTAGGTGTCTGGCTTTTACTCTGCAAAATGGCATCACAACAACTACATTAGAGGAAACTTTAAAATAGCTACTACCATTTACAGGTGGAGTGCTTGATTTTCAATTCAAATACTCACAATAAGAGCACTGTTTTGTGCACCAAAACTGTACACCAAAATTTGCACCAAATCGCTTGCGACTGTCAAATCTGTGGGTCTCATCACTGATCCAACGGCTGCGACTGATTTGATGCAATTTTTGGTGCATAAAAAATTACTCTTTAGAATAATATTTCATCCAAATTTCAAGAACCCTTGGGCCAGATTCAAAGGTATTGGCTCTTCCACAAATAACTTAATAGTTAATAGAGGTAACAAGTTAGGCAGGCAGTATATTAATACATCTAGAAGAGCTCAACCTGCCTCACCCATCAATCTAGAGCTGCCAAAGACGACAATACAGGTTTCATTTACTATTACAAGGAACAAAAGGGGCGGAAATAACAATACTTTGAAGAAAATAAAAGAATTCAATTTCATTTTTTCTTTCGCATCAATTTTCTGCGAAAACTGATCAATCAAGAAAATATAGTCGAGAAGATAAATGCTGCTACGCAAATGAATGATCTAAAACTCAATTTCTCAGATTTCTCTCATGAAAAATAACAGATTTATTTTCCACCACAAGCAAAGACAAAGATGTATGCTTCTACAAGGCAAAAACTGGAAGAACAAAAAAATTTCAAAAGAAAAAATAATTCTAGATTTGTTTTCAAAGCAACATATAGAAAATCTGAAACAGAAATGAAGGAAGAAGAAGAGGAAGGAGGATCTTCAATACATACCGAAGTAGGCGAAACGGACTCAACACAACTACTCTGCTTTGCCGGAGCTTCAATGAACGCTAGAGAGAGAGGCTGTCGGCTGAGTAGAGCTTTGCTCCTTCACGTTTTATAGACGAAAAATGAAGGACCTTCGGTTCCAAATTCTACCGACGTGGCAATTCGGGTGGATGATATCTGCTTTAATTTAGGGCGAATTACACTTTGTATCATAGATATTTAAGAATTTTTATTTTGAATCTGATAAATTAAATTTTTTATATTATATATTTAATATATTAAAAATATTACAATATAATCCTGCCGTTAATTTTTACTGCTCATCTTGTCAAAGCAATGTCACATTAAAATAATATGAAAAATAAAATTTTTTATTTTTTTGTGATGCAAATGTTCAATTTTCTCATTAATCATGAATTTATCTCAAATAATTATAATTTTATTTTAAAAATATAATTTCTATATTAAAAAAAAATAACTTTCGGTACAGGAATTTTTTTTTTTTTTTTAAATACTGTAGAATTCCCCTTACATTGCAGTCTGTAACTGATGACTGACCAATCACATTAATTAGTAATATTATTGATGTGGCTTCTAGATTGTCTGTCCCAGTCTTCGCTCTTACTCATCTAGAAAGTAGCTTTTGCAATCAAGGACCTCGTCGCTCTTGCTCTTCTAGAAGAAACAGTTTTTGCAATCAAGGACGTCGACGGTAAATATTTACAAACAAACAGAAAAATCAAAAATCAAAAGCCGATGAGTAAAATAAATATCCAAATGTAACTATAATATCCCGTCGGTCACTATTCAATAAGCAATAACAAGTGTACAGAAACCCAAGGTGGGTTATCCCTGGGGGTGCAACTTGGGTTGGAATTGCACCCCTGATTTTAATTCGAGCTCAATCCAAAAAAATTAGAGTTTAGACAAAAAATTTTAATCCGAATTCAATTTAGGCAGACCTCAAATTGACCTCTCGGGTTCACGGGTTGAACCCGAATATTAAAATCAGGTTCAACTCGAATTAATAATCGGGTTCAACCCAAATTACTATTATATAAATACAATTTTTGAATGTTATGTAATATATTTGAATGTTATGTTTGTGTTCTGTTAAACTGATTGTTGGTTGTTAAATTATGTAATATATTTGTGTTATATTTGAAGTTGTTAGTTGTTAAATTATTTGAATATTATGTAATATATGAATTAGGTTTAGAATATTAACTCGAAATCAGCCCGTAAAGTAACTTGAAATCAGTCTAAAATCATTAACCCGAATTCAACCCGAGCTATCTGAATTAAACTCGGACAGTGCTTGAGTTGAATTTATCTACCCGAGATAAGGTTAGAGTTAGGGTTGAAGATTATATACCTAGGGTTGACTGTCCAACCTATCCGAGTTGCACCCTTAGTTATCTCATTCGTTTCTCACCCCACATGATAAACCTAACCTCATAAGAGGTTAGGGATTTGAATATTTCATGAAACATAATCTATTGAAGTCTTCGTTTATAAATTTAATCTTTGGGCTCGTTTGGTTATCATATTAGAACTGGATAAATTAGATAAAAGTATACAATCTAATTCAATACAAATGAATTAAAGACAAAATTACATATGATATTAAAATAATACGTAATTTTATCTAGTGTTTGGCAATACATAATATAAGCGTTAGATAATAGTTATTTAATCTAATCGGTTATTTGACTAGAGAATTATTTCATCGTATTAATGTTAAATTAATAAAAATACTTTCAATCTGTGTTTGTTACATTGATGACAACTTGAATTTATCACTTCGGGGATTAGAATAGTAAATGTGTAGAATAATATGTTTAAGTTGGATTATAATATCACCTCTTTTGGTGATATTAAAAAACCTCCATAATACAGGTTTATCGTATAAAAAATATACGATAAATATATATTTTTAAAATTAATACGGTATCAAATTTTTTTACCAAACAAAATATTAGGCCCGATTAAATAAAAAATAGTATAATTCAATATTTAATCCTTTCATAATACGTCTATCAAACGAGCCCTTTGTGAAGAGGTGATTTTGCACAAGGTCCAACATTAGTCTGATATATGATTGGGATAGTATTACGGTAATATATTGAGACAGTTGAGATATCAAAAAATAATAATAAAATAAATGGACAAAATAAACCCTATTAATCAAATGTTTTAATGATTGGATATGAATGATTATTAGTAATTATTA